AATTTAATTATCTGTTCAGATTTATACATTTCCTCCAGAGTTTCAGTGACAAATGTTGGTTTTATTTGAAAACAGCAGAAAACAAGTACTCAGATTCCCAGCCCAAAACGGGGACAGCTGCAAGTACAGCTGCATTGAAAAAAAAGTTAAATGAGTCCAAATATGTTTCAGTTTGATTTCAAGGGATTTGACAAATAGTCCAAAGGGCTTAAAGATTTCAGTCTATGTCAATAAATCTAGTCGGTGCACATAGAAGCGAAGCTGTAATCTGYAACCACGTCCAGCCATTTTCCATCCATCACAGCAATTTTAAGTCTGCACTTTGACTTTCTTGTTTACCTGGCACAACTGCTCCGTCTGGCTTTTCCTGGCCTGGTTTCCAACCTTCTTTAAGCAGAAAACGTAGTGTTGGCCCGGTGGAATGGTGTAGCCTATATTCTATTGTGAGAAAGATGATAGAGCAGTCGCACTTTTGTTACTCTGTTTTGTTCTTTTTTCTGTTTTTTATTATTACTATTATTTCCARTCCCATTACTTCTCCATACTTTGTATTATTTTAGCCTTTCTATTTCAAACTGTTCAGCTCAGCCAGGATATGAGTGCTTAGCCTTTTGTATTTTTACATTTTTAGGTTTATTTGCAAATGTTTTCTTTTTAGAAATATGTTGCTATTGTTCAAATCCTTCAAAACAAACAAACAATTAAACAAACAAACAAACAAACAAACAAACAAACAAACAAACAAACAAACAAACAAACAAACAAACAAACACATTTTCTTCAAAATCTACTTTGGCTCATCTGTTCTGTTTTCATCCTTTCTTACACTGCTTTTATTTTTCATTTACACTTGCTATTTTTAGTTTTTAGCCAACCCTTTGCTACTTTTAACTAGTGTTTTGCTATATCTGATTAGCCTTTTGCATAGGTTTTAGCCAGCCTTTTGTTTCTTTTAGCTTTTAGCTAGTGTTTTGCTATGTTTGATTAGTTTTTTGCACCATTTAGGTTTCAGCTAGCCTTTTGTTTCTTTTAGCTTTTAGCTAAAATTCTAGGTAAAGTTTTGCTATAGGTTTGACTAGCACTTTGGACCATCTAGGTTTTGGTCAGTCTTTTGCTTTTTTTTTTTTTTACTTTTAACTAGTGTTTTGCTGTGATTGATTATTCTTTTGCATGTTTAGGTTTCAGCCAGCCTTTTTGATTCTTTCAGCTTTTAGCTAGTGTTTTGCWATGTTTGACTAACATTTTGCACCATCCACAGTAGGTTTTAGYCAGATTTTTTCGGATTTTAGCTACAGTAAGTCTAACAACTCAATCCCAGCTAGTTCAGTTAATTTCAGCAGCATTCACTGATTTTCTTTTCTTCCAAAWAATTGGATTTCTAGTTGTTACAGTGCTTTTCTTTGTGAGCATGAGCAAACCTCAGATGCCCACACGAAACAAACTTTATATACGAAGCATTTGCATGTTAAGTTTATTTGTTAGTTTTTGTGTACACATAAATGTGCATGTGTTAATTTGGTGTGTAGGCGCCACACAGTCACTGGAGGTTGAGAGTGTAAAGGACGGAGAAGGCAGGACTCAATGTCCTGCTCATTAATACCATGTGGAGCTTTGAGCAGTGGCGGACTGCTGCTGAGCTTCCTGGCAAATGAGCAGCTTGCAACTGGTTTTAACTGGTACAGAAACGACAACAAAKTTGATTTATTTGAGGGTTAGAACAAAACAGCTCAGATCTGCAGGTTAAAGGTCTGACTTTTATTGAACACAGGCTTGTATGTTTTGAGTTAAAATTGATCTCAGACTTCTCTTCCCCCGAGGTCTGCACTTGTAAAACATTTATGATTGCAACAATGTTGTCATTTATTGCACATTTGATGACTAGTGAGTGGTTTATTCTCAAGTTCCCTAAAGTCTGACAGGCAGAAGGAAAAAAGAGCCAAATGCTTACTTTAACTTTTAGATTAAATTTAAAAAACACAAACTGAGATTTTGGCTGGTTCACGAAAAACCCAACAAACAGCAGATAATTGCAGCTTTCATGTCAGTTTGTTTATCGGATTAGTTCCCATTTCACTTGTCTGTGTGGTCACTGGTTAGCCACCCAAGTTCATTTTACATTCTTCRTTTTTGTTGCTGATGAACAGAAACCCCCCTCCCCTGCTGTGAACTGGGCTTGTAAACTCACAGCAGCTGTTTGGGATCTTTTCTCAAAAACACTAAACCCCTGTACTGCATCTTGTCCTCGGGCTCCAGAAATCTCYATTTATCTTTACCATCACTTATTGTGTTTCGCTCTAACCAAACATTTTTGTACTCTTTAATCCCMGAGACAGTCAAATTTTCACTCAAATCGGTCTCACGTTGCATCCCCACCCCACTGCAGCTCTGCCTCCCAGCCTTCTCAGTTTGGCTCACAGGAGTCCAATAAGAGTAAAACATGAGGTCAGCTGTGAAACATCTTTGAGCATAACTACATACTAATAACATTACCCTAAGTGCTTTGTAAATAAACAACAGATTTTGTAAAAAAAAAAAAATCTCAAAGTTTCCGTTCCCTGCTAAGGCAGTTTATTTGTGATAATAAGAATTTGAAGCTTCATGCTATCATAAASCTACTGAGACACGTCAGTAACAGTCATTGCCCTAATTTTAAAGTTCAAGGATGTCAATAAAAAAACACTCAGGCCTTTTCTGCTTTTCTTTTTTTCTTAGATCTCTGGAAGACTTGGATTTTTCCTACAACCGCTTTAGTTCTGTGCCTGTAAATCTGCCCCGCAGCCTCTTAAAACTGACCCTCCAACACAACCACATCAGCCACATCTATGCCTTCACCTTTCGCCACATGCGGCCCGGCCTGCAGTCCCTCTGTCTGTCCCACAACGGATTGAGCGTCGAGGGCTTGGACAGAGTTGCTTTCGTTGGGACCTACCGCTCGCTCAGAGAGCTCCGTCTGGACAACAACAACCTGGAGGAGATCCCTCGATGTGTGCGGCAGTTCAAGAACCTGCAGGCCTTGAGGCTGGACGGCAATCAYATCAGGTACAGATGCATTTAGTCAGGAGGGATTCAAAAGATTGTTTGGATGATTCAAAGTGGGGTTCTGTGGAAAAGCTATGAACAATTAATATCTCACCTGACCTCAGATTCAAAGAATAAAATTTAATTCTGACCAAATTGATAAGCTAACAGCTAACACAAAGAGAGCCAAGACCTAAATTGATTTCTGCCATCTCATAATAATTTTGGTCTTAAATAACATCAAAGCAGTTCATGCAAATACTGTTTTTATACCTTACACAGTCAGGTTGACATTACACGAGTATATGGGCAGATATAATATGATGTTATTTCTGCCAGAAGTGCTACAGCTACCTCCTCATGTTGCTATATGAACAAATACTATATGTCCTTTTCGCCAATCTAAAGCACACAAAGAGTTACTATATCTATAACAGAGGATAATTATAACCCCCGCACGCGAAGCGTAAGTGGGAGTCATATTGTTTTTGTAC